CAAGAAAAGTAAATAAAAATTTGCAAATGCGTACTCTTATTTAATATGGTATCTATGAGAATACATATGAAATCGGGTAAGAATACACAACTCAAAATTTAATAGTAATTATATGAATACTTTCCCTTTATAAAAGTCATGATAAGCTTTATAAGCCAGAATAAACTTCATACTACTTATAAATTTTACACAAAATTAAATTATTTTCAAGCAATAACAATTAAAGTAATTAACACTTTTACCTCCGAGGAAAGCAGATTCAAATTAACGATCGAGTCATCTCCTAGAATAATTGGTTGCAATAATGACATATACGAACTTACAAAAATTAATATAATTATCATGTGTTATTAATATATTACAATATCCATTATAAATTATTAATGTATTAATACAGCTCTGTACACATGAGATAATAATAACAGTTGTAATATGTTTTATTTTTTAATATAACATGTATTACACTGGACACAAAGATGTTAATAATTATCAGTATCATTATTACTTCGAGTAATACAAAAAAAGAGACAAATTAATCTCGATTGGCCGACGTTCGGAGGTTTCGTTTCGCTTATTCCTCATAATGGTATAAGGCATTATTTTATACCGCGAATCGCAGAGAGGTCATTCCGCTAACCCAAATACTACAACACAGCATTTTTACTTTCACGACGCAGCAGATGAGCCAAACTCACTTGAGTTGCTTCAACGGACTGTTACGCAGTCGGATGATTAAAGAGCCGCGAATGGTGGGCTCGATAACAATTTATCACCTGATACTTCACGGCAGATAGACATGTTCGGCGTGCGTGTTCAGCCTGTGCACCCACGCGGCGAGAGGATCACGATGAAAAATGATACCTCGCGTAATTACTGATACGCAGGACATAAAGCCGCGTTTTGCGGGGAATCGGTTCGTTGCGACGTGAGATCTTTCTTTATCGAAATATTTCGGCATAATCTCGAAGGTCCATTATTATCTAAATACTTCGACACCTGTGATACCCTTAAACCGTATGACGTACTTATTGTTGAACGCGAAACGCGAAAATCTTGGCAATTTGACGAAGAGAGAAAGAGAGAGAGAGAGAGAGAGAGAGAGAGAGAGAGAGAGAGAGAGAGAGAGAGATGAATAAATAAAGCATTTATTACTGTTCTATAACAAGCTCTATTTCTGTCCCTCTCACACACACACGCACGCGCGCAGTAATTAAACGAAACCGTTTAAAAAAAAAATATTGTAAAATAAGAAAAATAATATAAATGAAAAGATAACAATAAAAATAAGTAAAAATAAAATAAAAGATAATAATAGATGTTACAATCAAAAACGAAAAATAAAAAGACAGAAAGAGAGAAAAAGGGGAAGAGAGAGAGAGAGAGAGAGAGAGAGAGAGAGCAGAAAAAAGAAATCTGCCTTTAAATTGGAACAGAGATAAAATTCAATTTTCCTAACTCAGCGTATAGAATTAGGTACTTAAGTCTATTTCAATAGTTTCTGAGATCCTAAAAAGAAGAAAAATCAATAGGATCTACTATATAGGGAACGTTTTGATGTATTTATTGTTTAATCACATCTTCGTCAAAATATGAATATTTTATAATACGTATTTTAGACAAATTGCAACTTTCATTTTTCTAATTTATTTATAAAATGTGCAGAGACTTATTATATGTGAATCGTGGTGTTTTTATTCGTGGCGCGATCTATGGTACCTTTCACTCACTCTTTGAGATCTTATGATCATTAACATCCAGTCGGCCTCAGAATGACGAATACAATCATGATTGCTATATTAGTATCGTTAATACTCAATTTCTAAAGAGAAAGGAAAGACTTGTAGATCCTTTCCAATAATATGACGTATTCAATTATATAATTTGTTTTTATTATAACATATTTTTCATTCAAGTTATGAGAAGATCATTTGAATCACAATTCTGCTTTATCGGCAGAAATTGGCAAGAAATCTTACAAGAAGTAGATAGAGGACTCAAACTGATGTTTTCGTTGCAGATTTTGTGCGCGAAATTAAAATGATGACAAGAATCGAACGTAATTAACGCGCAAATTCCTTCTAAGGATTAATTTGAGCTATACAAATATTTGACATTAACATATAGAACAGGACAGATCTGTTTTTGCGTTCTCTTCAAAGATGATTTTAATACGACATTAAATGTGCTAATATTTCCAATTACGACTGGCGATACAACATTGCAAAGTTATAACAATTTTGAAAAAACGTTGTAAATTTGATCAAAAATTCTTGTGTTTTTAAACTGCAGCAGCATATAGAAAAATTTTCAACTAAGATTTTCGACTCTTTAATCAATTCATAGATTTTTCTAAAGAGATGCTCAATTAATGTACATTCTTGACAATAATCTCTGAATTATAAGCAATTAAAACCTTGAAATTCTCATAAATTTAACTTCAAGGATATAAAAATGCTTACTTTCTCTGTTAATTTTAAATAGATTCCATTCCAGCAAAAATTTGACGATCAAAACATTAGCAAGACAATTTAATGTTGAAATATTTCAAAAAATTATGATGTCTATTTAATTTTAAGGTATAAGTTTCTCAAACATGTGATAAGAAATATAAGAAATATATATGCTGTAGCATATATGTATATATATTCTTATTGCAGCTTATACTTTTTGCAAATGTTCTTTCATGAGCAATGATGGGTGCAACCCTATAACAGGCAATACAATTGCATCCCAGAATACATGATCGGAGATCAAACATTGACCTCTATTTAATAGAATTCGTGTCTTCCGACACGTTTTGCTTGTATGTGACTCAGATCTATTAACGACGTTTGTTTTTACGTGTATAAAAAGTCTATTTTTATCCCAAGAGAAGGAATGACTACTATCTAAAAGAATGTAGTCGTGCTGCACGAGTTCTTCGACTTATGGCCTCTTTTTCCTGCTCAGAAATCAACAACGTGCTACATTCATTAGATACAATATTAAAGATTCGCAGTATCCGAAAAGAGATTATACTGAAACGAATCGCGCGCATTCCTTTCCCTGCTATTATAAGTGATTCCTTTTATGTATATATAAATTCTACTTGATACATTTACTTTACATTCTACAAACTATATTGGTATTTATTACAAAATTATTTTATGATAAAATATTTAAACTATTTAATTACAAAGTGTTTCTCGCAAAACAGAAATATTTTATTTTGGCAGACAAAATGAGTACAATCAGAATTTTTATTTAAATTAAAACACCTTTTTTTGTTATATTCATCATTAATGAAACAAAGCAAGGTAATAAATATCTGTTTTGTGAAGTGATAAGATTTTTTTAACATCTTATTTTTTGATTATTTTAATTAAAATACTGTTGTTTGCATAATCTTTATTTTTGAGAAAATAACCAAGGAACAGTAGCGCAATCATCCTGTCGCACGATCATGATAAATGATAACCAAACTTGGGTATTCGGCTTACGTTGCGCCCGTCAAGGATCCACGGATTTGTTACACGTTGGCTGAATTTACAACGGTGCACGAAGTAACGAAAATTCACACAACGAGATCACTGAGTCAATGGAATGTGGCGAAAACTCACGTCGTATTAAGTGGTCCAGCACTTCTCCGCCGAAAGAAAAATTTATGATCGACTTAGCGAAGGAAAATTTTATCTTTCTCTCGGCGCCCACACGAAGGATAATCCTTTGTTGCTGGCGTGTTTGCCTCATAAGATTTACCTTGACGTCTTTTAATATTTTACAACGTGATTACCCTTCAAACGCGCACAAGTGTCGGATCTTGAATTTTGTTGTAAATTTTCTGTACTAGCAATAAAGCAATTTATCTAGCCGTTTTAAAATAATTTCTAATTAATTTTCGAAAATAGGTTATTTAGCTTATCTACAAACACGTAGCTATTTTAGCTAAACTGGTCTCGGGTTTTGACAGCCTCAGGTAAGCGCATGCCATACATGTTTACTTTGTGATCCCCGAAGGCAGACTTGCTAAAGATATACGAATTTGCTTTTGCAAACTCAAAGTGCATATTAAGAATTTTTATTAGCTATATTCATTATTAATCCATAAGTGTTCGCATATTCAAATACTAGAGTTCAATTTTACCTATATTTTAATTTATTTATTTTATGTATAAATTAATTTATTTTATGTAATAAAATTTCTTTTGTAAACAAAATTTTTATTTTTATTTATTAGTAATTATAAACTGAAACATTGTTATATATAATAATAATTTTCAAACATTGGAAATTAAAAGAAATCTATATTTTTTAAATATTTCTTACCCGAGCGTTTATGAATTAACTGTTACTGCATACAAAAAAATCATTTTATTGTTACAAATAGTAATTATTTTAGTTTACTTTTTTTCTTTTAATAATTATTTTTAACAAAGATAGTTTTCTTAATAATAATTTTAAAATAGATTTACAAATT